GAGGCGGGAGGTGGGGGGGGGGGAGAGGGTTCCCAAAATGCGAAAAAAATGAGATATACAGAGTGTGATTGAGGGATTTGACGATTAAGCAATAAGCAGTGCCTAGCAACAGTATTTTGGACCCATATGTCAGTGACAGTACTTCTCTTCCTGCAATCACGTGTTCCTCTCCTCCCGTCCTTTCCAATGTTTCAGTTTTAACGCCGTTAGCTCCGATGGACGGTCGCTTTGTCCATCAATTTCTCTTCGCACGCATGGGAAATTGCACATTCTGTATGGCCAGCCATGAGCCAACCCACCGGCCACCACCGCGCCCGCTCATAAAATAATGAAATCAACTATTATCTCTCATTCTAGAATATTTGCTTTCAAAGTAAATCAGAATCCCTTGTTTTACATTTTCAAACATAATTTACTAGGTTAATTAGTAAATACTACCTCTGTTTAACTTTACTTGTTATATTTGAACCTGACACCCCTATTATAAAATGACTTTTACTTCATTGACATGATTATTGTAACACACTATCCTAATTGATTAATATTTAATATTAAGTCTTTGTAAATAATTGAAGAAATAAATAATTAATATTAAAAGTAAAAATATGAAAAAAGCCAATTATTTTTTTGTGATACATTAATAATGACAAATAAAAGAGAATCTTTTTTTAAAAAAATGATAACAAATACTAGTAGTATTTTAAAAAAAAAAGTATATCAAGTAAATATAAGTAAAAATTAAGGATGAGGTCAAGGAGTAATTAGTGTCAAATAATTTACCCTCTGTTTTTCTCTTTTTACTAATTTTACTGCAAAGTTTGACTACGTGCATGGGAATATAACCATCTTCTCCCGGTTAAATTATGTCTCTCCCTGACTTCCTTCGTGAATTCAGTGCTATGTTACCGGTTACCGGGGTCACCCACCCAATTGTCTTTTTACTTTAAAATTGGGGGGAAAAAAAGAGTGATTGTCGATGTGGCACGTGATTCGCTCCTTGTGGAAAGGCTAGTTATTAATGCATTGGGGGATGTGGTTAGGGGCGGAGATGGGACACTAAATGCGCGTCAGACCCATCCTCGTGACTACCAATGTCATAAGTGCAAAATCGTCATTCTACTAACTACTCTTTTATGATAATAAAACAAATACTCCTATCTGAAGAAAATTTGAAGTAGTGATGTAATTTACGTACATACTATTACTGATTATGGGAAAACGACAATATTGATCGAAAAGGCATGTACATTTATTATTTGGCAAATACTCCATAAATACTTACTCAATAGTTTTTATACGACAAATTGCCTACTTTTTCTATATTTTGTTATGTAGAAATAACATTAGTTATCTCGGAAATCAGATGTTTCTTTTAGGCTATATATAATTGCATGTTCAAATTATTTTTTATGGAACAAATTGAACTGTTCTTTAGAATATTCCACCCAATATTAAAAGAAGTGTAATTTTCTAAATTCGTAAAATTGTATCATATCCTTTCTTTGTTTAGAGTGATTAAGCGCTTTTCTTTTCCGAAGATTTTTAATATTCAGCAAATACATGATTTTCTTCTTTTGGATATAGACTTAATTTATGTGATATGATTAGTATATTTATGTCAAATATTTTATTTATTAAGTTAAAAATAAAATAATATATTATAAATTGAGACATGTGAAATATTAAAGCTGCATTTCACAATGTGAATCAATCTAAAATTCATAAATCTATAATCATATACTAATACGCGTAGAAATGCATCAATAGTTATCTTTTGAAATTATATATTGCATGTGGAACTGTAGCCTTACCTACATATATAATTTGTGCTTTTGGGCTTAAGCTGTTTCTTTTAGACACGGTAACCATACTCCAACTTCATTTCTTTATCCATATTGAACCATGTGGAAGTCACTTTAACGAACTTTCATTTTGAATGGCCAGTTTCATATCTGGAGCTTAAATTCAAAATTTCTGATAAATTATCTGAATTTGATCTACCTATAAAATATTAATTGTAAAATCTAAAAGCCTACAAAGATGCCTAATTATTTTTTTCAATTAAGAAATGCACATTCTAATAATAACAAAATCGACAAAAGAAGATGGGAGTCTAGAATCCTAGGAAAACAAACCATTTCTAAATCTTTATTAGTAACAAATTGCAGCTCCCCCCTCAATATATTTTTATTAAATTATATAAACACATGGAGCTGCCTTTGACCATACTCCATTGATGGACAAGTTGAAAAAGCATTCTTGATCTAAAAATAAACAATCCCCTTAGAATCTCTTCGTTTAGTTAATTAATGAGGCTATTGCATACTAAAATTAAAATAATAGCGGATAATTAATTAATGGTGAGTAATATGACCTACCCCATTTTCGGTTGACTTAACTCCTAATTTAAAATTATAGAGTGGTTTAGAATAAGATCAAGACCTTGCTATAGTTTAATCACTCTAAGAATATCCAAATGCACCTGTTCTGGACACAAGGAAATTAATTAAAGAGCATTTGATATGGACAATTAATTGGCCGATCTTTTTAATTATTTTGAGTATTTTCTAAAACACCTTTATTTCTTTCTCTCTCAATTAGATCATGAAAAAGTACAAAG